CCATCTAAGATACGTCGACCTGATTTTCTTAAAACTTTAGATCACCCAACTGGATTAGAACTTGACATTTATTACCCGCAATATGGATTTGCAACTGAAGTGCAAGGAGAACAGCACAAAAGATATATAGAATTCTTTCACGGAGAAGATCCCAATAATTTTATAAAACAGCAAGCGCGGGATCAACTCAAGAAAGAATTATGCGAAAAGAACCGGATTGCATTAAGGTATGTTTGGTATTACGAAGACCCATATATAGTTATTCCTGAGCATCTTCGTGAATTGGGTCTCATTGAATAAACATAAAACTTTAAATGCTCCATGATCGATCATTACATACACATTTTTTTATTTTCCGATATATTAGAAATTATGAGCTGAAATTTTATTTAATTTTAATATGAATACATATACTGCACCATCAGTTTTTTGCTGATTAAATTTTGCTAATAGAAATTCTCATTTTAAAAGAAAAAATATTCATTCTGATCCTAGTACTTGTGGAATTTGGTTGAAAATATCATTTTTAAGAAATACATAAGTTTGCCTGTAGGGTTTGTAATGCGGAATATCGTTTAGAACATCGTAGCCAATCAAACCACAGTTGAAATTAGGGGGATCGCTTTGCCAGGAATATAATTCGCTCGTCCTAACCCAGTTGGACCAATTGGTCCCGTCGCCTAAACATACCAACCAATCTCTTGAAACTTGAGTAACTTTCGCTCCATTGCCATATCCAGCAGGGTAAATAGAACCTCTCTTCCAACCATCTTTAGGATTATACAATTGTTGTCTTACGAAGTATGGAATCACCGTCATCGTGGCACCAGTATCGATTACCATTCGGAAACCTTGTTCCATATTTGCCATTCTCACCTCATCTCTTGCGTTTAATATATTTCGAATGCAAATATGAGACTATATTTGGCAAAGCAATCCTCATAGATGTCATTATTAGGTCATTGACAGATATCATTATAAAGTTTCGGATTATACCTGACAATAACCTTATTATCATAAATCGTAAATAATACAAACCTGCCACTCTTTCCTTCTTTGATCATCCCTAGCTAAGGATCTGTGCAATTCAACAAACCGTTCAACAACGGGTACATACAAACACCCTGGAAATTTTTTCCCGAGTTCTTCATCTTCTTCCGAAGATATCTCTTTTCCATACTCAACTAATTTCCCATTAATGAGTAAAATGTGCGATCCTTGCCGTTCATCAAGATCACCAGATCCGAGTAGACGACGGTATTCAATTGTATTTCTTGCCAGTTCTTCTCCGATTGGTTCCCACTCGGGACGAATAATATAGTCAAAGACCTTGCGACACTCACCGACTTTCATTGTGTCAGGCCAAGCGAAATCTGAGCCAGAGAAGACTAAACAAAGGATATATTAGTAAAAATGCAATCAAGCTGGATCAGACTTATTACGTACCGTAAAATTTTTTCCAATCCTCTTTATTTTCTGTAAATTTGTTGATTCCTAGTCTTTCTGCAAACATTCTAAGGTCACCTTCAGCAACTTCATTATTTGTTACCGGATTTGAAGTAAATTCCATATCAACAAACGCTTTGGATTTAGTTTCTGAAGCTGTGTTTTGTTTCTCATCCTTGGGATCAGATGAGTCCTTCAGACTCAGGTTCTTGGTAAACTCTTTTTCGAGAGCAGACTCTTCAGATGTATACAAGAAATTAGAATATAATAAAGAGTACAAATAGCCATATACGAAATACGAACCAGAAACAGAATTAGTTTCAGATGGGCTGATCGACATTTCGACACCTTTAACACCTATAAATGGGTTCGGAATGTTAACATTCCGAAATGCAGTATGTTTCTAAACACAATAAAACCTACCTAAAGTTTTTCTCTTTCTGGAAATTTTTGTTTTTGGTACTTTTGGTAATTTTAGCGATATTTTGCGCATATTTAACTATGGTACATTTCATCTATACTCAAAAATAGTCCGAAAATTTAAAGTCATTTTGTGATTAATCACGTGAT